ACTTAAACGCAGCATGAAAATGAACAAACCCTAGCTTTACACACCATCCTGGACAGATTCCACCGAAGCAAGGCTGAGCAAAAGTTTCTTCGTTTTTCTGAAGTTCAAGGACAGGCAACAATGGCCTATGACTGTGATCGGCAAACTGCAGCTCTCGAGCCACATGTGGCTCTTTGGCCCCTTGAGTGTGGCTCTTCCACAAAATACCATGGCCTGGGCGAGTCTATTTGGAAGAAGTGGCGTTAGAAGAAGTTTAAGTTTAAAAAATTTGGCTCTTAAAAGAAATGTCAATTGTTGTACTGTGGATATTTGGCTCTGTTGACTAATGAGTTTGCCGACCACTGACATAGGCTGAAAGAGGGGAATAGGGTCTGTCTTTGAAGGCTTACTACCGGGTGGGAGGTTGGTAGGAAATGTTCTAAGTTTTGATCTAAATCTCATGTAGGGTGTATACACATAAACAAAGTCATTGCATTAAATGCTTAAACTGTATGCATTTTCCTGCATGTATATGATACCTTAGTAAATGAATAAAGAAGGTGACAGCTGTGAATATGACAATGGCTCACTAGAAAAAAGAAATCTACAGTCATATCTATGTAGTGAGTAAAAATTACCAACTGCAAAAAGAAAATAAAAAAAATTGGAAACTACTATAAAATAAGCAGTTTCTTTGAACTCTCATTGTAATCTGAACACTTTAACAGGAGCTCCAACTTGCAGACCTGGTGCCCTCAAATACCTTATAAGATGGAGTGTGGGATGAATACACTCCTAGGAGTGATTCCTTTGTATCTGTTGAAATACCCACAGCTCAGAAATAGGCTGACCGAGCAGTTTTACTGGTTTTTGATAAAGACAGCAATCGAGAATGAGGAAGGAAATAAGTTGTCAGGCCTTCCTGGATGAAGTTGGGGGTCCATCTAGGTCTGGGTGACTGTGCATGCATAGGGTGACACATCGGGCGTGTAGAGCAGCGGGTGCATTCTTTGTCTCCTGAAGCTAGGCCATGACCAGGGGGGTGAGGCCTGGATATTGAAGTCGTCAGGCATGCCCAGGAGGGGTGCTGCATCTGGGACCAGTCCAGGAACAGTCCATGGCAGAGTTCCTCCCTTTTATTCCCCCATCCACCAACCCTTTTTATTTTTTAAAATTTATTTATTTATTTTTTTTACAGAGAGGAAGAGAGAGGGATAGAGAGTTAGAAATATTGATGAGAGAGAATTATTGATCAGCTGCCTCTGCACACCCCCGACTGGAGATGTGCCCGCAACCCAAGTACCTGCCCTTGACGGGAATCGAACCTGGAACCTTTCAGTCAGCAGACGCTCTATCCACTGAGCCAAACCGGTTTCGACTTGAAGGTTTTTTTTATGAACATCTATTGTAAGGTGACTAGATGTCCTGCTTTTTAACAATTTGTCCCACGTCCCGCGGCATTTAAAAAAAAATGCCGTGGGACGCGGGACAAATTGTTAAAAATCGGGACTGTCGTCTGGTCACCTTAAATTCTATTGGTCTTTTCTCTCTTAGGTTGGGCTACGTTTCCCTGTAGTTATGGAGCATCATGACCAGGAGGCATCTCACCAAAGCAAGTGGCTTCTCTGGATTTTTTCTCTCCTCCCTCCTTGCTGAGTGGTTTATCTGACACAGTGGCATTGTCTGGTGTTCTGGAGACACAGCCTTGCTTTGTCATAGAATCTGCTCTGTCAGGTCTGGGTGCTGTGGGTGAGGGGAGGCCTGAGACCTGGAAATTTCGCAGGAGGGCCCGGCAGGTGCTGGTTGTCTAGGCAGAGACCAAGCCCCACTCTGCTTCCCAGTGGAGAGCCGGCCTGGGCTGAGTGACCGTGAATGTGGTCGTGGAAGGTCTTTGATTCTTTAGTATAAAGCAGAGGTTTGAGAAAGATAAACCATGACCGCGCCTGCACATCAGGCCCAGAGTCTGCTCAGAACTGAAACTGGAATGTTTATGGGAGGTCAAAACAGGGGCATGCGCGGTCATACCCAGCACCTATCCCAGGGTGAGGAGGCGCCCCGTAAACACGCCTGCCTCGTTTCTGGATTGGGTGAGGGCCTGAGTACATCTTGGGGCAATAGATCTCTTTCCAAGCAAGCTAATGTTCAGATTATTAGGGCTGGAACTTTCTCCCTAAGACACCCTGAACAAAATGTGACACTAAACAGATTTTAAAAAAAAGAAGAAGAAAAAGGCAAAAGCTACCTTAGGATTGATGAGGATCCTGATGGTGAAGGATAAGTAGCACATTAGTTATGACAGGTTCTGCTTCTAACATAACCCAGTGTCCTTGAGGAGCTTCCTGGGAGAGACAGGGCACAAGTCACTATTTTCCTCGGAAATGGAGCCCAGTGATTGGGGTCTGGCCCCTTTGTCCACCGATGACAGAAAACTTGAGAGCCTGCTTCCCACCCAGCACACCTATTGGAGGGAGGGGAGAAGAGGCCCTTCCTGACCAGAGAAGGGCCTTCCCTCTTCTTCCTGCAGAGGAGCATGGCAGCATGGGGTCAGGACCCCTCGTGCACCCCCCCCCTCCTTACCCCCCCAGCCTCCATGCAGTCAGACTGCCAACCAGAAGTCCCGGTTTTCTTCCATGGGCAGTGGTTGGCTCCTCTTGGGTCTTTGTCTTTGCTGTACTCCAACACACCCCTTAGCTCTGAAATCTATTAATACTGACTAGAAAAATTTCTATGTGCCAAGGAGCAATCTTTCTCTCTCTCAGCCCCCCCCCCCCACCCTCCCGTTCCTTTTTCCTTTTACTGCAGGTACTGAGAGGATTCCCAGGGAACTGCCAATCCTTGCTTTCTCCCCCTCTTGCTCCTACCCAACACTGCTCCCATCACCAGATTACACAACTCCTTTGCCTGTGGCAATTTTCCCCTGAGCTAGTGTTCATTCTCTAACCCAATTAGTTCCAGATTCTCTCTCTCTCTCACTTTTATTTTCCCTACATACACCAGGAAAAGCAACTCCAGTGTATTTCCTGGTTAGTGGGATGAAAGGCAGAGTATTCTGAACTCCTAAACTTTCATTGCTGTGTCACAGAATGTTTGGTGAAGGTAATGCAACTGGGGAATCCCCTCCCCTCTGCTTCCACCCCTCTCCCCTGCCCCCCCCACACAGGCCGGCATGTACTTACATATTTTAAAAACCCTTCTCTGTGCCTGGTAATCAAAGCACAGGGACAACCACATTGTGGAATATTCTAGAAAAGGTGCACTCTGTGTCTGGCAAGATGCCAAGATGAAAATAGGAGTACATAAATGATATGACCAGGAAGCAAACATCTCCTGATCTTGTAGGGTCAAATGGGCTCTCTGTGGAAAGGAAGCCACCCGTGTCCCCAGAAGCTGTCATCTGGAGGTCACCACAGGTGGGAACGCCCTTGGCGGCTGTGGGTTCTCCCAGTCGGGAGTGGGGAAACCTCCCTAGACACCTGCAGCTAGATACGTGCTTGGACTCCGTGGAGACTGTCATTTGGACACCTGGTTTACTAGTGAGCCTTTTATTAAGAAACCCTTTAGTTGTCAGCCTTACCCAAAATGCATCTCCTCCTCAGGGCTATATCCACCAGCCATCCCAGCCAGCAGCCCTAGGTAGGAACCGGAAGAAGCCAGGAGACCTGAGGAGGAGGAGGATGTGCCTGACATCCTAGGAGTCCTCTCCAATGCACACCTTACCTTCCGCAGGGCTGTGGACCTAGCCGGGCCATGGGAGAGTCAACACCTTGGAGGCAAGGGAGTGAGGGTACTAGGGCTTTGACCTCAGAGTTAGGGGCTCCCTAAAGCTTCTTGAGGAAAGCCTGAAGCCTCAGAGGAGCCTCCTCCCAACATGGCCAGGGACCCCCAGGCCGCCTCACCCAGGGCTCCAGCTTGAGGCTTTCTCCAGCGGCATCAAGGAGTGAAGTGCGGGCCCAGGCCAGAGGGGGGAGCCAGGACACCCCCAGTGAGCCAAGAGCCTCTGGGGAGCCCTGTTCCAGGTCCGGAGGCTGGCGTGCAGGGGGATCCCCACAAGGGGGCGGAGGGAAACCCAGGAGGCCCACAGGAGGAGGCGAGGCGGGTAGCTGGGCGAGCGCAGCCAGGCGCACCGCACTCGCGGCGCCCGCTTTCCGGGCAGAGGTCAGGTCGTGAGCTCCAGAAACCCCGGGTTTCTCCGAAAGTTTCTAGTGAAATCCATTTTCCCGGTGACCGGCTTTTCGGTGGCGGTTTGTGTTTCCCTTCCCCTGGCAAGAAACAATCTTGCCAGGCTAGCGCACCGGGCTCCCTGCTCAGCTGTCTCCTCCCCACGCGCCCCCTCTGCGCGGTGCTGGCCAGAGCCGGGCTCCGTCCCCCGCTGCCCCCGCCCGCGCCCGGGTCCCTCCGTGGAGGAGTTGCTCCCTCCGTGCTCCCGCGCGCTCCGGCTCCCGGTGCACCGACCATGGAGTAGGCGGGCGGTCCCGTCCAGCGCTCCTGCAGCCGGTGAGGCCGGAGCCAGCCCGGGTGGCCTCGCCAGCCAGCCGGCAGCCTTGGCCAGCGGCGGGGCCTCCTCCCGCCGGTCCGTCCCTGCTCCTCCTCCTCCTCCTCGGCCGCCCCCGCCTCCCGGCCGCCCCCGCCGCCCCCGCCGCCCCCGCCGCGCCGCCGCCCGAGGCCGATCGCGGACGCCGAGCGTGGGAGCCATGGCGCGCGAGGAGAGGGACCCCGAGCGCCGGGAGGCGGCGGCGCGGGCCCGAGGCGAGGAGGAGGAGGAGGAGGAGGAAGAGGAGGAGGAGGAGGGAGAGGAGGGACTGAGCGATAGCGACGACGAGGACCGAGACCAGCAGACCGGCGGCGGCGAGGCAGAGACTCGGGAGGCTGCAGCGGCTGCGGGGCGGGAGCGCGGCGAGAACGCGCGGCTGCAGAGCGCAGGGCTGCCTCCCGCCGCCGCCGTCCCCGCCGCGGCCGCCCGCGACCGGAGCTGCCGCCGCCCGCCGGGGCCCCCGCCGGGGCCGCTGCCCTGCCTCCCGAGGATGCCCGAGGAGGAGGACCGCGAGCGGCGCCGGAGTCGCCGGAGGGACCTTCTGCTGAGCCAGCTCTGCTTCCTGGCCTTGGTGGCGCTGGTGCTCTGGTCGCTGTCAAGCTTGCAGGAGCATAATGGTGAGTGCTCGCCGCCCGCCCGGAGTGGGCGCTGCGGCTCCGGCGGCTCGGGGCTCCCGGACCGGGCACGAGCGAGCAGGCTGGGCCAGGGGCACGGGTGCCGGGGACCAGCAATCCCACTGCCCCTCCGTGGGGCTCGGGCAGAGCGGGCCCCGAAGGGAGCGCCGCGCACAGAGTAGTTAGCACGCTGGCTGCTTGGCTGGTCCTGGGAACCCTTGCTCGTGTCTTTTGGAGGGACTCAGCCACAAGCTGGAGGCACTGTTCCCCTAAGCAAGTCCCCCCAAAAAGTTGACCTGGTAAGATTCGCTACCTGTGCAGGTAAACCACCTGTCTGTGCACTCTCTGGGTGGAAGACATGCACAGGACTGGTTGACGGGTGAACACATAGTTGCCAGGTGATCTCCATATGGAACAGGCGCGGGGTGGACCAGATAGGAAGCTCCATGCCAGCCTTTCCAGCACAGATGCTGGGAACTTCCAGATAAGAAAAAAAGTGTCGGCCACCGGCAAGGGCTTGGGAATGGACTTGTTCTCTTAAACTAACCAGTCGCCGGGAAGACCGATCCTTGTTGTGGACTCGCCGTTCTGGAATAAAGGGTTTTGGACTCGGCTTGCCTGGTGCCCTGCGGTGGGGCCACCTTCTCACCCGCAACTTTCGTTTTATCTTTGCCCTTGGCCTTCCTTGCGCTGAAATAGCTCTTGTGGGGAAATGTGCTCGGAACAGTTGTCCACGGAAAACAGTTTGGACCCCGGGGAGCAGCGTCTAAGAAACAGAGGAAAGACTTGGAAGAATTAATTGTTGTAAAATGGTTTTATGATCCCAGCCATTCAAAGTGGTATGTTTCCCGGGAAGGTAGTCATAGAAATGATTGTGAGAAAAAGCAGTTTGTACCAATAGTGCTTTGGTGTTAAGAGAGACGTATAGCTTTAACACAAGGTGTTAGGGAGTGCACAGTACAGGCATCTGGATATTGATGGTAAGATATTTTTAAAGGTGCCATCAATTGAGGGATCGCCCCCAAATGGGCTGGTCTTGTGCTTCGTGGGGAAAGCAGATGGTCCATCTTGGTTCAGGCCTTCACAGACCTGTTGACAGACTTCATCATATATGGTAATATGAGAGTCGGCTCTGGTCCTCAGGGAAGCAGCTAAGATTGTTCCAGATTCCAGGGTTGTCTGGCAGTGGGGACTGACATCAGGTAGGGTTCTGAGCTGGGCGAGCAAAGTGGACCCCTTTCCCAGGGCAGAGTCAGAACTGCCAGTTCTCACCAAGTGGGTTTTTCTGAACCCCATTTCCATCTTCATTTCTCTGACTCAAAGAGCCAGTCTGTACTCTGTGCCACCTTTGGATAGGGCCATTCCAAGTCAATTACATGCCGGCCATTTTTTTCTTGCATGTCTGGGCTCTATGAGTCATAGAGTTCCCACCGCTTTCCAGGATAGAAAAGACATTTGTTTTTTCAGGATGGGGAATGTGAACCATACAACCCATTCATCAGGGGGAGGGGGCTATCTGACCTGGGATGTTCAGGGGGAGGGAGTGTTAGACATTCTGCAGACTGGAAACCTGGTGGCTAGAATGTCATTTTGAAATGGTTTCCCTAAGCAGTGACATTTCTGTTCAGGTGCCAGTGACTCAGATTTAGTTCCACAGCATAGCCTTTCCCCTCACCCCTCTCTGGATCTCTCTTCTTTGTACAATTCGTATTCTCTCTCCCTCTCTCCACCCCCCTGCCATAAATGTGGGGCTTAAGAAGACCCTCACACCAAGCACCTGAAGATAACAGAGAAAAGCCGACAGTGTTAAGACGACACTATCCAACCTCCATTTATTTCCCCCAAATGACATGTTAGTCATGATTCTGTGTTGAATCACCATTCCCCCCCCCCCACCATTGCATATTGATAATTTCATTGCATGATGCACAGCAATATTTTGCCGCAAGGCACAGGTTTTTTTTTTTTTAGATAGTTTTAAAGATATTAAATTAATGCGTGTGAACCTGCAGGTGATTATTTTGCTTGGGAGGTTGTCATTCAACATACGTAGGCATTTGAATAGTGAGTATCAGGCTGGAAACTTGGTGCTACTTTACCTGAGGGTCCTTTTAGGATGGAAAAAAGTTTGGAATTTAGCCTTTTTAAAAGATGCTGTGACTTCGAGAGGCTGAGTGATTCACTTAAGGTCACGTAGCAACTGATAAGCAGAGGAAGAAACCATCCTGAGTTGACCTGAGTTGACCTGGCTCTTTCATGTCATCTCTGTCCCCTGGTATTCATATCACCATGTGGTGCAGCTTTGTAATATTTATGTAACCACAGAGGGGATACCTTCCTAAGGATCAAAAGTAATATTTTGATTTATTCACCTGAAAGCCATGCACTGGTTAAGTGTAACTTCCCAGAACACTTTTCTAACACATATTGACTTTTTTTTTTTTTTAAATAAAAAAGGATAGTCCTTTACTAAACCTAAATAGAGATTTGTGGCAGTTATGTTACATAATGTTGTATATCGTATGGAATCTGAGATCCCTTTTTTGACATTTAACCAAACTCGGTATCGATTCTTTGCTGCTGTGATGAAACAGGAGCATAGTTAAACTAGGTCGAAAGGGTTAGCACTGGAATGAAGAAAAATGTTAATTCTCACAACAACAAAGGAATAATGATAATTGGAATCTGGTGTGCTCTTAAAAGGCAGTCACTGTGCTAAGTGCGCTGTACAGGCATCACCTTATTTAATCTGCAGACACTTTGCAGCTGTGTGAACCTTCAGCCGCAGAGAAGGAAAGAGCCGGGGTACCCTGTTTAGTTGCTGACGATGGAGATCTCGTTTTTGATCTCTGCTTTCAAAGCCAATTGAAATAAGTTGTCAGATTTGGCTTTCTTGCTTTCTTTCTTTCTTCCTTTCTTTCTTTCTTTCTTTCTTTCTTTCTTTCTTTCTTTCTTTCTTTCTTTCTTTCTTTCTTTCTCTCTTTCTCTCTTTCTCTCTTTCTTTCTTTCTTTCGCAGTGAGGATGGATTACTTTTGTATGTTTTGAGTTTTTAAAGTGTTTGTTTATTCTTTGAAGTAAGGAACCTGGTCACCTTTTTCTAGAAGTGATGTGGATAAAGCACAGGGGTTCTAATTCAGAAGTAACCATTCCCTGAAGAATGGTCCTGATAGGTGAACAGTGAATAAGAACAATTATACACCTTTCTATCTATCTACTTTTACATATGCTAGTACATACACACACTTTGTGATACTTTCTCTCGAAGTTTCTATTGCTGTATAACAAACCACCCCACATGTATGAGTATAAAAGTTATTTTATTTTTTTTGCTCATGGATACTTTGGCTCAGACAGCCTAGTGAAGGATGGCTTTTCTCTGCTTCATTATGTCTGGGGCCTCAGCTGGAAAGATTGAAAGGCTAGGTGACTTGACAGCTGGGTTTGCAGTCATCTGGCGACAGAATCACTCCCGTGTCTGGGGTGGATGCCAGCTGTTGGCTGGACCCTCAGCTGGGATGTCAACCAGAACCCTTACATGTGGCCTCTCCATGTGCCTTGGTTTGAACTTCCTCAGAAGTTTAACAAGTAAAAAAAGTCCTCAGGGTTCCAAGAAAATAAGGTAGGAGTGCATGGCATTTTTATGTCTTAGCCTCAGGAGTCTCGTGTTATCACTTTCCTGTTGCTCAAGGCAGTGAGCAATGTCTACCCAAGTTCAAGAAGATAGATACCCTGGCTTACTCAATAGAGGCGTGTCAGGGTTTGCTGTAGGAGAACATGCGCAGTGGGAGATACTAGTGTGGCTGTCTTTGGAATACCAGGGATCCAAAGGCATAGTAACTTACAAGTAATTGTAGATATTTTCCAAGGTGGTAAATGGTGACTAATACATGCACTTTCACCTTATTCTCTTGGAACATACGTGTGTATGTCATTTTTTGGAATACCTTGCAATCATGAAAACATTGCTACTCATGTAACTGGCGTTGGACCCAGCGGTGGAAAGCAGGCTGGAGTTTTATTGCGAAGGTCAGTTGCAGACCCGAGAGCCCATCTTTCACTTTGTGGTTTCCCATTCTCAGAGGACCATGACCGTGACCTTTCCATCCCTCGTGTGGCTTACAGGGAAGTCTTGCCAGATTCCCCAGCGTTATCTCCCCTTCCCAGGCTTCAACACTCTGGCCTTTCTTCTCAAAAGGGTGACACTTCTTCTGACCCAAGGTCTCCAGCACATGCTGGTCCCACTGTCACCACTATGGTAGTTAATCCTTCCCTTCCTGGCCCAGGATCTTCCTGACCAGACGAGGCTCCCCATTTTGCTCTCTGAGCAGGCTCTATCCTCCCTTCATAGCGTTTATCACAGTTGGCAATTATGTATTTCTTTAGTTACGGCTTGAGTAATAGCTCCTCTTCACCAGGTTCCAAGGTCAGGAGGTCAGGGCCACTATGAACTTGTCTCACCTTTGTCACCTCTGTCACTCAGCCCATAGAAGCTGTTCAAAAAGATATTTGTTGCCAAAACCAGTTTGGCTCAGTGGATAGAGCATCAGCCTGCAGATTGAAGGGTCCCAGGTTCGATTCCAGTCAGGGGCACGTACCTTGGTTGTGGGCACATCCCCAGTGGGGGATGTGCAGAAGGCAGCTGATCAATGTTTCTAACTCTCTGTCCTCTCAATTTCTCTCTGTTAAAAAAAAAAAATCAACAAAATATATATTAAAAAAAAGATATTTGTTAATCTAAAAAAGCCTTTTTGTTTTTCAGACTACGGTGTCTGTGATAGATCAAACTCCCTTGTGTTAGGAACCCACTGGCTGACACACACTTTATTTTCATGATTTATAATCCTACCCTCAACCCAGCAGATTTCATGGGCTCACCCTGAGTTGCAGAAAGGTGAGTGTCTTGCCCAGCGTCCCCTCATCACGGGGCAAGATTTGAACCCACCTTGGCCAGAGCTGCAGGCCGCCGGACTCCCTGGCCTGGGCTGACGAGGACATGAGTAGA